AAAAAAAAAAAAAAAAAGTTATGCAAATAAAAGCAAAGTCATCAAACTGGAGTTTCCTTTCAGCATTTTTTTGTTCTGAATATTGTAATGCACATACTACGTTCAATTACTTATTTAGCGACCAATTCATTTAATGACCTATTCACAGGAACAGAACTGTATGATTAAACAAGTGCCTGAATATTTTCTTTTTCTAGCTTTGCACATTTTAATTTTTTAGCAGTGCTGAAGCTGAACCTAGGGCCTTTGCACCAAGCTGCATCCTCAGCCTTTTTTTATTTTCAGACAGGGTCTCACTAAGTAGTTAAATTGTCCAGGCTAAACTTGAACTGGCAATTCTCATGCCTCAGCATCTCAGAGTGTTTGGACTACAGGTGTGTGTCACCATGCTTGGTCCTTCAACTTAAAGAGCCATCAAATGGCTAGTGGGTAGCAACAGCCTAAATTGTACATCTACATACTTAAACATTACAAATATTGCTGGGCATGGTGGCACATACCTATAACCCCAGCACTCGGGAGGCTGAGGCAGGATTGCCTCGAATTCAAGCCTGGTTTACACACTGAGATCAAGGTGAGCCTAACCTATATAGTGAGATCTTGTCTCAAAAAGCAAAAAAAGAAAGAAACATTGCAGATATCTTCTTGAAGTAGAGGTAGAAGTCAAAACTTCAAAAACCTCTTGGATGTATTTAATTAAATATTAAAATTATACACCAGGCACCAAAGACAATAAAAGTCCTACCCTTCAAAATTTACAATATACACTCAAAGACTAAGCAGATTATCTAACATAACAAGGTAGAATAAACCCCATAAGAAAGGAATAAAATAGTAGGGAGCAAGAAATAAATGTTAAGTTTGTGGCAGTGAGATTATGAAAGGCTTTATGAAGAAGGTAGTGCTTTTATGTAGGTCTTACAGGAAAGGACAGTAGGATTTTTAACAGAGGAAGGGAGAATACAAAGTCAAGGATGAGCCAAAGCAAAAACTCAATACAGACATTCCTCATTTAATGACTGAGTTCTGTTCCTGTGATTTAGATCATTAAATGAAGTGGTCGCTAAATGAGGAACTGTATAGAGTACGTACAATATTCAGGACAAAAAATGGTCAAGGAAACTCCAACTGGATGACTGCTTTTACTTGTGTAACTCTTACCCACAGTACTGCAATGTATAACATAAAACCACAGTACTGTATAGTAAAAATCAGAAAAAATTACAGTACTGTACAAATAAGGTATACGGTACAAAAAAGACACTGAGGCTTTACCAACAAGTTGTACAGAACTGCACATAAAAAAAGAGGGGAATTGGGCATGGTGGCCTACTCCTGTAATCCCAGCATGTGGGAGGCTGAGGCAGGAGGATCGTTGCAAGTTCAAGGCCAGCCTGGGCTACAAAGTGAACTCAAGGCCAGCCTGAACAGAATAGCAAGACCCTGTCTCAAAAAGACAAAAAAAAAAAAAAAAAAAAAAAAGAAAAAGAAAAAGAAAAAGAAAGAGGGAACATAAGTCCAAGCTGCAGGTAGTAAGTCAACAGTGGTTAAACAGGTAGATCGTTAAACAAGGAATAGCTAGACTACCCAGCACAATGCTAAATACACTTCAGCAATCCGATAAGCACTTGCTTAGACCGAGTAGATTACTACAAACACCTGGTAACTTGACCGTAAACGGCATCTGACAAGTGAACAGCTGAAAGCCCGTCCCAAGAGCGACTGCACTACGGTGGCTTATGCTACGTTTGATTACAGGGAAGGGTAAGGCTAACGAACAGTAAGTGAAAAGTAAGAAGTTAAGGTCGTAATTCCAATTCAGTTAACGCACAAATGACGGCGGAAGGAAGAGGCAGCATTCCTACCTCAATTCTGAGCTCTCCCACTTCCAGGGGGTCACAGCCGAGATTAAAAGCCAGTGTGGCGGACACTAGCGCCAGACGCTCGGCGAGTTGCTCTCGCGGCTGCCCGGAGCTGGGTCCCAGCCTCTCGGCGAGGTCCCAGCGAGGCTCCAGGACCTGCACCTTGGCCAAGTGCGGCTGGGCAGTGTCCGAAGACTCTCCGGCCCGGGCCACCCACACCCACTCGCCCTGGAAAAGGCCGAGGCCGCGGAGGCAGGGCCGGCTCACGCCCAGCGCATCTCCGGTGCCCCCCAGCGCTCCCTGGAGCTGCCGCGCCGCGCTGGACGCAGCGAAGGACGACACCACAGGCGGGGGCGGGGGCCGGCTGCTGTCCCCCGGCTCGGGGCCCAGTCTGGGCCGTCCGCGGAGCTCAGTCACGGCCAGCCGGGTCCCGGGGCCCAGCAGCCCCTGCAGCGCCGGCCGCGTCTCCAAGACGCGCGGCCCCGGCATCGGGAGGGTCTCCCCGCGTCTCACTAGCAACGGCCCGATCCGAGGCCCGAACCCCGGCCCGGGCGAGGCGCCCAGCAGCGCCCAGCCTAGCGCCGGG